ACCTTTGTTCGCAAACTGCAAAGGGGTAATGCTAAAGAATATTTATCTAATTCATTCCAATCTTATATGTCACAAAATGGTACTCTCCATCAAACATCTTGTGTTAATACTCCTCAAAATGGGGTTGCAGAAAGAAAAAATCGACATCTTCTTGAGGTTGCTAGGGCACTTCTGTTCCAAATGAAGGTCCCTAAATACTTTTGGGCTTATGCTGTTTCTACTGCATGTTTTTTTGATCAATCACATGCCTTCTTTGCTTAATGGTGAAATTCCATATAGTGTCTTGTTTCCTTCTAAGCTTCTATTTCCCATTGAACTTCGTATTTTTGGTTGTACTTGTTTTGTTCGTGATGTTCGTCCATAGGTTTCCACATTAGATCCAAAGTCCCTCCGTTGCGTTTTCCTTGGGTATTCTCAGCATCAAAATGGGTATCGTTCTTTCTCTCCCAATCTTGACCGTTATTTTGTTTCTGTAGATGTCACATTCTTTGAGAATACTCCATTTTCTCCTTCTATATATAAGAGTGAGGGGGAGGATAATGAGCTTTTAGTCTACACTATCCAGCAACTTCCTGGCTCTCCTGCTCATGCTTCTATTCTTGATCTTGCACCTGCTCCTGCACCAGCATCTGCTCACCCTCGTTTTGAACAGGTTTATTCCAGAAGACCAGGGAATCTTGACTCACTTCCCCCACCTGCCGCCTCAACAGAAGATTTGGTCTCCCCTACTCAACCTGAGCCTGTGTCATCCACCCCTCAGTCAAACCTTGACCTTCCTATTGCTCTTACAAAGGTAAACAACAAGTTCACTCCTATCCTATTACTTCTCTTTTTCCTATTATATAATCTTTCTGTTCATTCTCATTGTTTTGATTAGTGAACCCTAACTCTTTCTACCCCCTTAGAAACGTTGTTCAAGCTGTTGTCCCATGCCTATTTCGTTCGCACAATAAAGAGAAGGGCTGCTACTTAGATTACTAATGCTACTTGGATCTTGTGCCATGCCTCCCTACAGTAAGAAAGCTATGTTTGTAAGTGTAAAACTTTTCATCGTTAAAGTGAATCCTGATGGAGCTCGTTGCTCGTCTCAATGCTCATTTAGCTTCTTAAGGGCATAATTCTACAGTATTATCCTTATTACTTCTGACACTTTTCACCTTAAGCGCCAAATTCTTCGTTAGTTTGTTTATTTCTTTTAGAGCTACTTTCATGGCCTTTGCATCAGCTGGATAAATTTCAGAATGCCCCTTTCCTTGCTCGTCTCAAGGCTCATTTAGTTGCTAAGGGCTATTCTTAGATTTATGGCCTTGATTACTCTGACACTTTTTCTCCTGTAGCCAAATTGTCTTCTGTTAGTTTGTTTATTTCTTTAGTAGCTACTTTTCATTGGCCTTTGCATCAGCTGGATATTCAGAATGCCTTTCTTATGGGGATCTTCAGGAGGAAGTTTAAATGGAGCAACCGCTTGGCTTTGTTGCTTAGGGGGAGTTGGATAAAGTGTGTAAACTTTGCAAATCTCTTTATGACCTAAAAATAGAGTCCTCGAGCTTGGTTTGGTAGATTTTGCGATGCGGTACACCAATTTGGCATGCAGAAGAGTACTTCTGATCATTCTGTACTTTTCAGAAGGACTAAGACTGGTTTGATTCTACTTGTGGTTTATATTGATGACATTGTTATTACAGGGAGTGGTTCAGCTGGTATTACATCACTCAAGTCATTTCTCCAAACTCAATTCCAAACAAAAGACTTAGGGCCGTTGAAGTGTTTTTTGGGTATTGAAGTGTCTAGGTGTAAGAGAGGCATCTTCTTATCTCAAAGGAAGTATGTCCTTGACTTACTGAAGGAAACTGGAATGTCCTTGACTTACTGAAGGAAACTGGAAAGTTGGGTGCCAAGCCATGCAATGCTCCAATGACTCTTAATTTGCAACTTACAGCTGACGGTGAGCTATTTGATGATCCTAAGATGTATAGAAGATTGGTGGGCAAACTGAATTATCTTATGGTAACACGTCCAGGTATTGCTTACTTGTGAGCATCTTAAGTCAATTTATGTCTTCTCCTACTGTTATCCATTGGGAAGTTTTAGGACAGATTTTGTGCTACTAGAAAGGAGTCGTGGCCTCCTTTATAGTAATCATGGGCATTTGGACATTGAGTGTTTTTCATATGCGAATTGGGCAAGTTCGAAGGTTGATACAAGATCAACTTCAAGATATTGTGTCTTTGTGGGTGGAAACTTGATATCGTGGAGGAGCAAGAAACAAAATGTAGTTTTATCATGAGTGCTGAATCAGAATTTTGAGCTATGGCACAATCTGCTTGTGAAATAATTTGGATTCGTTAGTTGCTAGAGGAAATTGGTTTCAAGTCGTCCTTGCCTGCAAAGTTATGGTGTGATAATCAAGCTGCTCTTCACATTGCATTAAATCCGGTATTCCATGAACGAAGAAAACATATTGAGATTGATCGTCATTTCATTCGTGAAAAGATACAACAGGGTATTATCTCTACAAGACACGTTAAAACAAGAGAACAATTAGGAGATATTTTTACAAAAGCTCTAAATGGACCTGAGGTTGACTATCTTTGTAACAAGTTGAGCATGATTAACATCTATACTCCAACTTGAGGGGGAGTATACTCCAACTTGAGGGGGAGTGTTAAGGACTAGTTGTAAATAGAGTTCTATTATAAGTTAGATTCCTAATAGGTTTATAGTATCTTGTATATGTATATATATGTGACCCTATTGATGAAAATATACATAATAATATTTTTCCACATTAAATTACACTATTCTACCCCTAATTGTTGAGTTAATTTGCGCTAAATTCTTCCCCTGCATCAAGTGGTATCAGAGCACAAAAAGATCCACAATTGCTGTAATTTTTTTTTTTATTATTATTATTATTATTATTCTGTTCTAAACCATGTTTGGTAGAGAGAGAGAGATCGAACTAGAGGTAATCAGTCCCAACAAATAGAGATTGCTGAGACATGGCGAATGATTGAGGATTTGACCTGGGCTGTATAAGCCTTACAACGTCAAGAACCTGTGGAAGCCCGAATGGGAATTCCGGAAGGCAACCACAAATAACTCAAGGTTCAAGGGGATCTTGAGATTGATGAAGTCAAGGACATAAACCCTTTTCATAAAGTTGCACAAACCGAGCGGCACAAAGTGGATTGGAAGGGTTGTCACTACATGCCTGTTTTTGAATGGTGAAGGGATGAAGATTGAATTAGCTGATCTTCATGGAGAGTAACATGCAGCATATTATTTAGATTGGGAAATAACAACATTGTTAGATGTTGATGACCCTAAGGAGAGTGAAAAGGAGAAAGAAGTTTCATATTTTGACAATCAAAACAGTGAAGGCAGCAACAACGACCTTATGGAGCCAATCTATGATGAGTATGATGATGAAGAGCAAGAAATTGACCTAGTTTCTACCCAAGGAGAAAATGCTGCCATTCAGCAGGTTCTTGTTATCCCTAAAATAGAAGAACAAAAAGATTGGAATATTGAAAGTGGAAACAAAGGAAGATTGTTATTATTCACAAAAGTATTTGCTTCTGGATGTTGATAGCATAAAACTTTCAAAAGCAGATTGTTTGCAGCAAGTACTCCATGGAGTTGAAACACATCTTCAACCAAGAAGGCTAGTGCAAACACGGAAAAGTCTTTTTGTTGAACCAGCTTTGCTTGCTTGGAAAAAGGATGGATTATTTGAATGGCTTGTGATATTAGTTACTCTTGCAAAAGCCTTAAGCACGTGGTATTCTAAGGAGAAGTTTACACGAATATATTCTATTCTCGTGGCTAAAATCACTAAACTTTTCTCGTCAAAGCCGAGTTCTTTTCACACCTGAGGAGAATGATGCAGGAGCATCCAAGACTAATTAAGAAGTTTTCTTTTAGTTTCCTTCTTTATTTAGGATTCCTAATTAAATTTAAGAATGTTAATTAATCAAGAAAAGTTTTCTTATAGATTCCTTCTCTATTTAGGATTCTTAATTAAATTAAAGAATTAGGATTTCTTTAATTAAAATTAAAGAATTGTTAATTAATCAGGGAAAATATTTTCAGTTTTCCTTCTTTATTTAGGATTTTAGCTAAATAGGAATACTATTCAGTCTAGGACTATTTAGCTAAAATAGGAATACTATCAGTCTAGGGAGTACTAGCTAATTAGGAATGCTTTTGCAACTATAGAATTAGGAAATTTTGTTTCCTAACCAATATAAATAGGAACAGGAAACAATTAGTTTAGGGATTGTTTTTTATCTCATGAACTAGGAATTTTAATTCTAAGTCTAGGAGTACTAGCTAATTAGGAATGCTTTTGCAATATAGAATTAGGATTTGTCCTAACCAATATAAATAGGACAGGAACAATTAGTTTTAGGGATTGTTTTTTATCTATGAACTGAGAATTTTAATTCTAAGGGTTTCTTTGAAACCGATATGTTATTTTGTTCCAACCAAAATCATCCTATTCTAGCCCTAATTGTTGAAAGTTAATTTGCCCTAAATTCTTCCCCTGCATCAATATTCCTATTCTTGTCATTTAAGAACTACAAATAAATTCAAGAAAAAGCTCATTCATGCACAAAGCATTCAGTAAACATTCAAAGGAAGTCTCTGACTAGCCTACTTAACAACAATATGATACACAAACTTGCAACTCGAGAGTTGTACAAAGCATTGAGCAACAAATTTCATTTCATAGTAGCTTGGATGGTTTATGTTTCTACCATACAATTGAAATTGCAATCCACCAAATACCTTAGTAAATAAATTTATAAAGATAAATACAAGAATTACTCTATAGCAACATGCAAGACAATGAATGACTAATCCAACTTGCTATCATCAAGATTTATAAAGATACGAGAAGTTGATATCAAAAAATGAATTTGGGGGAACCTTAAATTATTACTATCAAGATTCATGAAGATACGTGGATAGTAGAAAATGAATTTGGAAAGAACCTTAATTAAGTTGAGCACAATAATTGGGTTGCCATATCTCTTTGCCAGGTCCTCAAAATGCAATTTGGTAGCCTGGTAGGTAGGATCATACCTTTGCACTGATTTAGAATGAAGAAATAAGAGTTAGAAGATCTATTTTTTATAAAGCCATGCAATATGTTGCATATACACTCAATAACAACCTCAAATGTATCAAATTCCAATGTCCTTACAGATTATATCAGGTTTAGGACTAAATCTTGAAGCTTCTTGTGACCAGAAAAGGGGAATTGATCCACGCAACTGCACAACAGAACTCATTTTCCCCTTGCATGATCCAGCTTCTTCATCAAGCACAATTTGTTCTGTCTCAACCTCATTTGCAACCCTTCCCCAGTCATTCACTCCCCTCTTCAAGTAACTGCAGCCCATTAACAAGCCACCATTAGGAAACTTCTACCTAAATATAAATGCAAACATTACTCTCTTTGCTTTTTAGAAAAGAAAATTCATTTTGTTATTTCTATTAAAAAACTGCAATGGCAGCAAAAACTAAAAAGTCTAAATAATGATAACGATGGGTTAATTTCATCAAGGATCACTAATCAATAACTTTAGTTCATTCTTCAAAGCGACCATTAAAGATAAATTTGTGTCAACCATTGGATTTGGATATAAATTGCAAACAAATAATGTCGCTTCCAAAGCAGAATACTAGAACCCATTTAAAATGAAATGTAATTATGAAACAGAAGAAAAATTAGATACCCTTGTCAAAATCATGTTGCAATTCAGACTTAATCTAATAGCTAAGTCAATCTATAGTAATAGTAAAAAGTTTAATGACATAAACCCATTTCAGTCAAATATCAAATGCAATGCTGGAGGATACACAACAGAATAAAAGTCACACATAAACAATCTTAAGTTGAAACCAGAACATACCGAGTCCCAGCAAAATGCCGAGAGCGTCTAGAAATCAAGGCAACACTGAAGTCTCTCCCAAAGATTGACAGCTTAACCTGACATAATAAATATAACAGAATGGGTCAAACCGCTAAACACACATTTTACTCAACTAAAGCGAATGCAAGGACCAACATCAAGCAATCGTGTGTGATAAATTAGTTTCAAAAGGGTAAGCAGTACTTGTAACTGAAAAAAAAAAAAAATCATTGTTCCCACTTCAAATAAAAAATTCCTAGAATCATACACAATACAGAATTCCTGTTGTGAAAAATTAATATCTGTCAAACTGCTTTTAGAGAAATTAATCTTCAGTCCTAACATTCCATCAAAATATCAATCAAATAGAACATTTCGGAAACTTCTGTCATTGTTTGCAAAAAGAACACTGTATGCCCTGCAAATTCCAATTACACAAGAATACACCAAACTGCAGCCATTGCCCTGTTCATCTTCCAATATTATTATTCTTTGAAGTAACAAACTCTAGGATTTATGCTACAATTTTTTCTAACACACATTCCAAGCAACTTCAAATGCTCCCATAATATTCATATTCATATGCCATAGTATTATCAGACTGATAAGCACATTAGAAGAACTGCAAAATTTTAGGTGATTCAATAAAATGAAAAGTGAAATTCTAGTGGCTAGCAAATTAGGGAGTTTAGTTCATTGCAAATGTATTCTGCAAGCAAAAAGACTTACATTATCACATGATCATTTATAAGACAAATAAATAATATAGAAATAAACAAAAGACACGCAAACCTGCTTAAAATGACCATGGACTAGTGCTATAGTCCAAATAGTATTGCCACATGCTGACCGAATAGGTTTTGTTAGAAATCCATTCCACACGAACATGTTATCATATGGCATCTTATCTTTACCAACTGATGACACATTTTTTTGCAAGCTTTGCATTATAGGATATGTATAACTAAAGAAGAAATCTTTGGTTAAATCCACACTGGACAATAGCTTTTTATACCTGCACTTAAGAAAAATCAAAAATAAAACTACTAAGCAATAAACAATCTGATTCATGGTAGATAACAGGTGAATAATATACATAACTCATAAATGAAGAGAAGAAAATGAAAAAATAAAGAATCAAAATGTTATCCAACATTGATACTTCAGACCCAATTTGACACTTCATTTACTCAAACAAATTGTCAACAAAAAACTTCATTCCACATATTCAAATATTCAGCTATTAAAATGGAAAAATTTTGCCTTAGGCAAATATTTCAGGTGGGAGGTATTAATTGGAATTCATATCAAGATATAGAAATTGCAGCTAAGATGACTAGGCAACTTCTGTCACAAACAAGGTAATCTTTTTAAGGCCAATGCCAGAATATAATGACGTATACGTCAAAGTTTCCTCAACCAACCAGAATATGGAAGAGGAGCTGGGGCAAGACAAGAATAGGACCAGAAAGACAAGAGCTTGCAGTCTTGAACAGCCTGCCTTAAGGTTTTCAAAATATCCCAGCTAACCTACCAACACAAATGAGGTTTTTGTGTAGAATTCTTTTAGGTATTTCCAATGACTTGAACAGAAGAAGTGTTAATACTAACAATGTGTTATCATTACTAGCCGTAGCTTGCAATTGGATTCTTCTTTGACAGATAAGAACCAAAGAGCACCATACTTTGACAACTATGAATGCTTTAAAATGTATGCTATCTTCCCCCATCCTAGTTTTTTGACTCTAAAAGTTCAGCAAGAGAATAAAGAAAATTCAAGATGCTAAAGGGACCACAAAATGAAAAATAAACACTTTTGCCAAACCAAAACCTCAAATTTTGATGCATATGATAAGAAGAGCAGCATGCTAGAACTTTGCGCTTTTCAATACAAGAAGCAAAAAAGATTCATAGCAAGTTCAAAAAAAGAAAAACTTCATGGAGGAAAATGAAAATGCCTTTTCAAGAGAGAGATTAATGTTTCTAAGTTGATCAAGCATCTCCAAGTAACAATAGCATTGAGACCTCAAATAATTAGGTCATGTGGCATATGTAACATCTCTAGTTAGCAGTGCCAACAAAGACAACAATTTCTAGTAACAAAAATTGAATAATGTGCCACAATATCCTCAAATTATCAGTTGCTCATCAACTTTTATTGCTTCCGTCCCATATTTTAGCATTGCTTTTCCTCCTAAAACATTAATAAGGATTCATTTTCATTCCATGAGCAAAGTTGAATCCTTTCGGTGAACTAAATCAGAGGCAACTGCAATTAAGGGATCTTATTGTAAAGGCCACAAACCGAAAAACATGCAGACTGATTAGCACAAACAAAAAAATAATATTGATAATGGCTCAAGTCAAATCAAAGGTACTAACTAATTGCAAAATTAGTTACCATTGTCCAATTGTATCAACATATCGGTCTAAATAGCACATCCATGTCCAGCACAGGGGGTGAGTGCGTGGGTTTGGGGTTGGGGGGGGAGAGACAGAATGAGAGACTAGTTATCTATAAGCCAGTAGATGAAAAGGTACCTTAGCTCAGTTTTAGAATGTGCCACATCAGATTGAATTGATGCATGTGGAATTGTAATCAGTTGGCTTTCATCTATACTGTATATTGCATGACCACATATACATCCTATTTGCCGACGCTTTGTAACCAGAATCAAATAATATGATTCCAAAAATTTAATGCAACCTGAAAAGACCAAAAGAACATGCATTGCCAACATAAAGAAAATAATGTATCAGAAAAATACATGACCAAGATAACACTAACCAGCAATCCCATAAACCTTTGCAACAAAGTTTAGTCCCCCAGTGGCACGATTGCCTTCAGCAATTCGCTGAAGCAAGGACTTGATCTCTTGTGGTGAATAGACCACTGGGTCTTCACTGATATTGAGATCAGAAGGCTCTGAACGGTCAATCTTCAATACCCGAAAGAATCTCTTGTTCCGATCACTACCGATTAGATAAAATCTCTGCTCGAGCAAACAAACAACGAAATTTAATAACAAAAAAATGTAAAACTTATCCCCATTTCCACAAAAATCATTATCCTAAAAGTCAAAATAGATTAAAAAGTTAAGCGAAAACATTATGTTGTGTCAGCCTCTGTGAAATTTGAATATCGCTCAAACTATGGTGATGTTTGATAACCCAAGAAAAATTAAAAATTTCAACCCTCTTTTTTTTCAAGCATGGTTAAAAACAATTATTTGATATGTAAAGCAAACATTTTCTACTTTATGATATAGGCCAAATCCATTTTGTTTCCTAAGCAACCACTACAAAATATGCTCATTAACTACCACTGTTGAAATCACCCAAACCATCATCCACTACCAACAGAAGCCATAACCATTGCCAGTAGCAGCACCATCAATAGGACTACCATAGTTCCATAGCCACCATTATTATTATTATTATTAAGTTCCTTAACCAATTCATAATTTTTTTTTTTTTTTTACAAATTCAGTAGTCTTATCTATCAGACAAGATTATTATTCATAATTCATTCATCAGTTTTGAAAATTTCACCACTCACTAGTCCATTTGCATTTCAGCCCTTAATCTTTGATAGCTTGATTACAAAAATAACTCAGTTCGAATTATTTTCAGCTGCTTAAAATTTCAGTTTTATCAAACAGTACACCATCTATACGAATTGCATTAATCCCAACCAGAATCAAGAAACTTCACTAATTACGGTCTTTTCTTTTTAACATTCAATCATTCGTTTCCCGTCAATCTATATATTTCCTTCGTTTGCACAATAATCAAATACCTTACAAACACCACTCAACAATCTTTTTCACCTCCTGCTTTCAGTTAATCAACTACTCAACAATCTAGAATAAAAATATATGAAAAAGAAGCTTTGAACAGTACACTATTTTCTATACGATTTTCAGTTTCTTTCAATTTCAGGCATGGCATTCACAATTCAAAACAGGTCAATTAACACAGAAAGGAAACGAGAATCTGATTGGCTCACCTGTCTAGTTTCGTAGAGCCTAAACTTCTCGAGGGAGTAAGAATTCGGATCTTCAGGGTCGTTAGACGGGTGGACTTTGGCAGAGGAATTGGCGTAAGGCGCGATTTTGGATTTTGGATTATCGGATTTCGCCATCAAATTTCGCTGAGAATTACTTCGGATTTTTGCTAAATTGCCATTTTGGCGTTTTCCGTTCTGTCTGAATGTCACGGAAAAATGAAAATAGAAATGGGGATTTGAAATTATTAGGAGGTTGTTTGGGGAATTTCAAGCTTTTTATAGGCTTCCATGAACGAGTTACCAACCGTCACTACAACTCAGTGAGTCAGCTCTTCATATTGTATATGTACTCTATTTTTGTGTATCTTTGAATGATACTGTTATTTTCAAAATACGTTGTCAACACGAGATTCTACCATTTTAAGCACTTATTTTGAAACAGGCTGAAGGTAAAATATATTTTACTTCCTTCTCCTTTCATTATGGTAAACCTTGCAAATTAAATTTGTAGCCCTTAATTTAGACGCTAAAATTCACTTATTTATATTTTTCCAAATTTGATGCCTCCTTATAGACCATCCAAGACCATCTAGAACAGTTTCATGACCGCCTTCCCAAAGGCAGTCCAAGTCCAGATATTGTGGAAGCTCTCGCACTTCGTCACGTATTGCTTTATATTACTACTCATGTGATTGACATGGGAATTGTTTATTTAGATTCTGAAGGTATTTTTTGCTTTAAAATCTAGTTCTACTAATAACTCTGAGTTTGGTTTAGTTATTTTTCATTGTAAACGGATTTTGAAGTCTAGAATTGATAGTGATGTCAAGTGGGTTAAAAGACAAAGCCAATTTAGGAGTTCATTGTATGGGAAAGGCATCCTATTGCTATATATCCTCGTGTCCAAATTTGAGATAATATTTATTTTCCTCGAGATAATGAAATTTTTCTCTTTTCAAAAAAAAAAAAAAAAAAAAAAAGCCAATTTAGGAGGTTCCATTGTATGGGGAAAGGCATTACTATTGCCTATATATCCTAGCGTGTCCAAATTTGAGATATATTTATTTTCCTCGAGATAATGAAATTTTTCTCTTTTCAAAAAAAAAAAAAAAAAGAAAAATTTATAGGTGCCATGAACTCGTGGTAAGTTTTCTAATATGGATTAAAAAAAAAAAAAAAAAAGAAAAATTATAGGTGCCATGAAAACTCGTGGTAAGTTTCTAATATGGATAAGTTTTCTCCTATTTTATAACTATACTTTCTAAATTCAATTACATTTGATATTTATTCTTTAATTCAACCATCCTCTACAAACTAGCAAATGAAGATGCACTTCCCAAGAAATCAAATTGGTGGAAACACATTGTAACGACCCGAAAATTCAATTTCGTAGAATTTTCATTTAAAAACTAATTTTTTATTCCAACCATTGAAATTCAACGGAAAATATTTTATTATTACTAAACCAGACCTGTAAATCAATTTGAATTTTCCGAAAACCAAGTGAAAAATCCATAAACCAAGCAAAAACTGAGTCAAATCACTGAGTTGGATCAAACCGACTCGAATCTAATCGGAATAGTCTTGAAACCTAGATTTTTCTTTCCTCTTCTTCTTCTTTCTTTCTTCTTTCTGGGTCCAGCGACAGGCCCGTCGCCGACCTCCTCCTCTCCCTCTTTCTCTTGTTTTTCTGGTCACCGGAGATGAGCGCGACGGAGTTCTTTGCGCCGCCTTCTCTCTACCATCGCGCCTCAGCTCCTCCCTCCCTCTGTTTTTGTTCGAGTGAATCACAGAAGCGCCAACAGCCTCTAACCGCTGCTCAATGTCGAGTCCTTTGCCCGCTCGTGACTCTGACGAGAGCTTCAATGTAGGAGAGCTACAGTCCCTTTTTGGTGATCAACGGCGACATTGGTGGTGGCACTTTGCTCCTATCGAGCCCGCTCCAGTCAAATAGAAGGCCGATCTCGCGCAACTAACGCCAAAAATGGACTCCTGAGAGAAAACCGAGCCAGATGGTATGAAGAGCGCTCCATTCCAAGCAGCCATGGATTTTCGGCCACCATAGACGACGGCGGCGGCGGTCTGGCGAGGCCCCAAGAGGCAGAATCACCTCCTCCTCGCGTTGATCATGGAATCATCGTCTGATTTTTGATTGCTACGCTCTAAGACCTAGTTCCTCATTTTTGGTATAAATTCCAAATATAAAACTATTAGATGATTAAGTTAATTTCGACTAAATAGTTAATCAAATATAATTCTTGTTAAGGAATCACGATAGACATTTAATTATTTAGCTCCTATTAATGTGAAAATTAACTTGATGGTTATTGCTGTAAATCATGGTATTGGAGGAAAAATTAAGTGCTAAGTTACTGTTAAGCAAAATTTTTAGGAGAAGTATTTAAATTAATATGCAATTGAAGATATGAGTTGAATTCTTATACAGTAATGATTAGATTAATGTATTTGTTACAAGCTTGATAGGGAGATTGTAATTTTCTTATTATGACAACGACTATTTTGTTTGCTTTTATGAGTTGACAGTATGAAGGTTTAAAAGCAAGGTTATGGCAGCAATTAATGGTAGGATAGCATATAAATTATGAGTTTTGGTAGGGTAATGAGTTAGTTCACGTGAAAGTATAAAAATTTAATCAAGAAATCTAGATTTTTGGATATGGCAACAGTTAACTTGATAAATTGTTTATATTTTATTATAATAGGAAGTGATGTCTTATATCAAATTATTGATAAGAAATGGTTAGGATAGCATATAAATTATGAGTTTTAAACAAAGAACTCTGATTTTCTTTGATATGGCAGCAAACAATCATCTACAGCAACAATCATTCTAGTTTTGTACATTTCTTTATAGTGAGAGAGAATATTGAAGTTTGCAGATCGTATTACTTCTGGAGCGAACAAGTTACATGGAAATGATAAGTTCCCGATTGAGTTAAACATGAGAGATCCTTGAAATGTATCAACAAATGGCTTATTCTTTTATGAGGGTTTTGCGAAATATTAAGATGAGGACTAAGATCGCATACTTGTATCTTGGTGCGGAAATGGATAAATTAAGGAAATGGATAATTAAACATGTTTAGGACAATTTTTTAGCCTAGCAACTGAATGTTTGCTGAATTGACAGCAGCTAGCTAAACCAAATTTCATAAATTTGGGAAAAGTAGAGCTTGCCTAATGTTATGAATTTAATCTTCAGTTGGTAATCAATTTAATAAGGATTATGATGATAATTTTAATATAGAGAATGTGACTAAGTTTTCGTTGAGCATTATTAACTAAGGAATATAAAGCTATGGCTTGATATAAACCCTGGATAATGATTTAGCAAAAAGGCTTATGAACAATTTAGTTATTGTATAATTTTGATATTTGGAAATGTCAAATGACTTACTCATTAAAAGTTGTGAATTGGTTACTTAGATGATGTATTTTATTGAATTGTAATTTAATTTAAGCATTGGTTCTTAGTGAATATGCTAGAATTTTAAAGAATGTCTAAGTATGTTATTTATACCTTAAGCAAGAATGGTTGATAATAACATGGTAATAGGTTTGGAAGTTACTTTAAGTTGTAAATTAGTGTGATTACTTTGGGTGGAGGAAGGGAAATAAATTTATTTGTTTGCCCGATAGATGAGCTGTGTGTTTTAATTGAATAATACTTAGTGTTATTAGAATATTTAAACAAGTTGATAGTCCCATTTTTAGGGAAGGTGCTGCCGAAATTTCGAAAGAATCTATGCTAGTTGTATTTAATGGACAAATTAATAGGTTTGTTCGGAATAATTCTTTATTTTGATATATTTAAAAATAAATCTCTTTATTTACTTTAGTTATTTCCTTTGCATTTATAATTTATTAGATTATCCAAGTTTGTCCATTGCTCCTGCGAATAAAATTCGAGAGCTTCCTCTCTTCGTCATCAGTATGAATACTAATAAACAGTGCACTATCATCTGCATCATGCATAGTTACATTATCGCATAATGCTATAATTACCTATTTATTTAATTAGTAATTATTTATTTTTATTTTTATACAAAATATTCACATTGCTTATACTTAAACATATATTGCATATTTAGTTATGCATAACAATACTTTTATTTAAAGACGTCCTACATTAAATTCCAATATTGATTAATTTTGTGATAATGAATAATTCGTGTTCTGTGGAATTGGATGAAAATGAATTACAATTGGGTTGTGAGGGTGGTCTCAATACCGGTCGGCAATATGTATAGGGAAGATGGTCTCCTGTTGCACTTATGAGATATGGAAAGGCAAAACCACAATAGGCCCCTGTTGTAAGATAAAAAAAGATAAGTATATTAAGAACAAAAGATCCGTGCATCAAGTGAGGATAGACAACTACGGCCCATTGTAGTGGGATCGGCCTACTTGGTGACACTCAAGAAGAGAACTAGCATGTGTGCAGGACGACGCTACGGGGTTCGATGACGCATACTGACTCAATTTCCTGTTGATTTACTAAGGTATATTGGATCGGGGAATGGACATATCTTACACTGTGTAAACAATTTTCGTCCGGGCACCTAACCCCGAATGAACCGGCCGAACAACAACTGTGAATCGTATGTCGTCATCGCTATCATTCCTATCTAACTATAATACCGAACATTCCATCCAATTAACTTTCAACCCAACCGCCAACAACATCCTAACAAAAAAACCAAACAACTACTATATATCCATAACTTATCCCATAGCATGTCATACATCCACAATTAATGCTTCATCGACTATACAAGTCTAAAACCTAATAACAAACTAAAAAATCCATAATCAATCATGCCCCAAATACTTACACCACACACATACATCTCAATAATTACAAATCACATAGCCTAACAAATGAAAGAATTATAAGCATCAAAATCTAATAATGCCAAATTCTTAATAACCACCAATCTACATAATGACAAAATTCGTCACTTTCTGCTTTGATAGTATCTCTAAGTCTAGAGCAAACCACATCTTCACCGAACCTGAATGATAAAATCCGACGCGCTGATATAAAACTCATGGCGCTCATAATTCAATACTAAAAAAGGTGTGACATCCTAACAAAATCCAAATTCATAAAAGCATGAAAATCATAGATCAGTAAATTGGCAGCATCAACGCTTAAGCAAAGCAAAAACTTCATCACCCAAAAATATCAAATATTCAAATCTTACGAAACTTTATCAACATGATTAAACTATCATGAATTTACCTGTTTCCTT